ATCACTATATATTATTTTTAGAATCAGAATTAACCCCCCCCCCCCCTTTTTTTTTTACAATCAACCTCAGTCTCACATTCAGATCTGCCTCCATCCATTAGTCTGCTCATTATTTTGCTGCTTTCCTGTATGTTGGTGACGAAAGCCCAGTTGTTCAGTTATTGTATCACTCAATGCTCACAAGATGAGCCAGACAGTCTCCATCTCCCATTAAAACCGCACCTGTTACAAAAATGAAAAGACACATTGTGATATTATTTTCATTTTAGCAGCTTAATACGAAGAACAACTCACTTATGTTTTGCCACATAGAGAAAAACACTTCATGCTTACTAGAGGGCATGGGAAACTCAGCCCAGGATTGAGATCCCGTAGAGGAAATAGATTCATCTACCTGAAAAAATAAGAGACACATTTTGGCCAAAAGATCAAACTTATTCATCTAAAATATTAGGGACCAGGGTGAGAGAAGCTGCTGTCGGTATGGATTCATCTCATTACTCACACTAAGGGTGTGTGTTGCTCCGGAGAGATCTGGTGTGAATGCTTCATTCTTGTATAAGCTTCCCCATGTCACTCACACATTAGCTGAGGTGAAGAACCATCATCACACATTCGCAAATTAGGTTTTGTTAAATATCAGATTAGCGATCGGACAGGTAGGATCTAAACCATCTTAAAGCCTGCCCTTGAATACCTGTATAGTATAATTATGAGCATCCAGTTTTCCCTTTTGTCTCTATTCTCTATTTTTTTAGTCCCTACTGCATTGTTTCTACTACACCCTCACGGTACTCCACCCATCTCTCCTCCCTGCATTTCCCAATCCCCATGACTGATATTTGGGATGATCGCTGGATAATGACTTCCAGTGGACTAATTGTGATAATTTAATCGTAGGCCTACGCTTTGATGTTTCCTGGGATCCGCTCAGCTAAAAGATGTTAATTAGCATTATCGAAAAGAGGAAAGACAAGGAGGGATTTTACGCTACTCTTCCCACTAGATTTGGTGTGTGTAATCAGAAAGTTAATACCGTATTCTCATAATCCCTAGTGTGGTCCATTAACACCTTAACATCGACTCTTTAACTGAAGCGCATATTAATCAACAGTGCTGGAAGTCTTAGCCTCAATAAGCTTACTGAGTTCAGCTGAAGTCAGTTCACTTAGTGGCCATCCTATAATGTTCATTAGTAGTACACCTTCACCTAAATAGGGAAACGCAGAAATTTCCTAAACAGTTAAAATGGTAGCGATCGGACAGGTAGGATCTAAACCATCTTAAAGCCTGCCCTTGAATACCTGTATAGTATAATTATGAGCATCCAGTTTTCCCTTTTGTCTCTATTCTCTATTTTTTTAGTCCCTACTGCATTGTTTCTACTACACCCTCACGGTACTCCACCCATCTCTCCTCCCTGCATTTCCCAATCCCCATGACTGATATTTGGGATGATCGCTGGATAATGACTTCCAGTGGACTAATTGTGATAATTTAATCGTAGGCCTACGCTTTGATGTTTCCTGGGATCCGCTCAGCTAAAAGATGTTAATTAGCATTATCGAAAAGAGGAAAGACAAGGAGGGATTTTACGCTACTCTTCCCACTAGATTTGGTGTGTGTAATCAGAAAGTTAATACCGTATTCTCATAATCCCTAGTGTGGTCCATTAACACCTTAACATCGACTCTTTAACTGAAGCGCATATTAATCAACAGTGCTGGAAGTCTTAGCCTCAATAAGCTTACTGAGTTCAGGTGAAGTCAGTTCACTTAGTGGCCATCCTATAATGTTCATTAGTAGTACACCTTCACCTAAATAGGGAAACGCAGAAATTTCCTAAACAGTTAATATAAAATCAAATTAATAAAATTTGACAGCAATCATATCTTTAGCTCTAATCACACTGTTCATGATACAATAAATTTACATTTACAACTAGGCCTTAGTGCATCGATTTAAAAAATACATAACCATAAATAAACATGTTAACGTTAGGTTATAAAATGTTTCTGGGCTAAAGCATCTCCAAAAGACTTATATGACAGAGCACTAGTTCTCAAAATTACTTTTCAAAAACGTTAAGATGATGGTGGTAAAATTATGTAGCCTATGGTACTCAGTGATTAACATATCCGTGTATTATGCTGGTGTCACTACTCGATCCGTACCGGAAACACGATTTGTACTGCGCATGTGCGGAAATGCGTCTACTTCCTGTCTGAAGTATGACGAAACAATTTACGGCAGTTTCACGTAGTTATAATATTGTTGTTATAATACTAATAATAATGTAATGTTTTCATGTGTTGTTGACACTACCCGATCCGTACCAGAAATACTTCTTTACTAGTGATTCTCTTGATATAAATGCACTTTTTTGATCAAATATATAAATTCAATTATATTGATTAAATTGAGTAATCGATTACATTTGCACAATTAATTCAGTAAAATTAAATAAAAGAAAAAAACATTAAATAGTTTACACTTTCTAGACTCTATTTGGGTAATACAGATGTGTATATAAGCGTGTGTTTTACATTTAATTTTTAATTTTCTAAAGATAAGTTTGACTTATTTCAGCATACTTTAACAAATGTCTGCATCTAAGAAACACAAAATATTTATTTATTCAATTTATTTATTCATAAATTCATTCATTCCCTCCTTCCCTCACTCATCTACTACAATTGCTGATTGAGGAACATGGCATTGACCTTCAGGCCTTGTTCATCAACACAGTATGACAAAAATGTTTCGATGTCATCTTGAGACTGAAATATAAACAAAAAGTCATCATTTGCTTCAGGGAATTCACTCCCCTGGGCCTTCCTGAGTACATTTGGTTGATCTTCACTGTTCATCTGCAGAAAAGCAGGCTTACCGTAGTTATAATAATACTGTTGTTATAATACTAATAATAATGTAATGTTTTCATGTGTTGACACTACCCGATCCGTACCGGAAATAGTCCTTTACTAGTGATTCTCTTGATATAAATGCACTTTTTTGATCAAATATATAAATTCAATTATATTGATTAAATTGAGTAATCGATTACATTTGCACAATTAATTCAGTAAAATTAAATAAAAGAAAAAAAATAGTTTACATTTGCTACTCTATTTGGGTAATACAGATGAGTATATATGTGTGTGTTTTACATTTAATTAATAATTTTCTAAAAGATATGTTTTACTTATTTCAGCATACTTTAACAAATGTCTGCATCTAAGAAACACAAAATATTTATTTATTCAATTTATTTATTCATAAATTCATTCATTCCCTCCCTCCCTCACTCATCTACTACAATTGCTGATTGAGGAACATGGCATTGACCTTCAGGCCTTGTTCATCAACACAGTATGACAAAAATGTTTCCATGTCATCTTGAGACTGAAATATAAACAAAAAGTCATCATTTGCTTCAGGGAATTCACTCCCCTGGGCCTTCCTGAGTACATTTGGTTGATCTTCACTGTTCATCTGCAGAAAAGCAGGCTTACCTCTCCACGGAATAAGTCTCTGTGATTGTGTACCCAGTACCAAGCTGTATGAAGGTCTCTCACAATGGTAGGCTGATGCACCTGGTGAAGAACACATTATAATATAAAATAAAAATATATAATGGCAAAAAAAACAAAAAAAAAAACTATTTATCCAACTTGCTACAACATGTGGATTGTTTTGACCGGAAATTGAGTCATTCAAATGTTGCATGGGCAGGAATTAAATTTAATAAAACGTCTTCATGACTGAAAAACGATAAAATTATTTTGTAGGTTTGGGTTTAATTGATTAAAGGTAAACATTTAATTCATCCAGCTATTTTTGGTGTCTGTGTCATAAAGGTTTTTCTAAATCGCTCCAAACGATTCGGCACGACGTGACCGAGCTGTCCGAATGATTCAGACTGAATCGCGAATCGATTGAAACCGTTTTGCTAACGTTTTGTCCTAAGCATTGAAGTGAATCAAACGAGTGACTCGTTCGTGAATCGGTAGTTCTGATTCAATCAAAACAATCAACAGATAACGTGGCACACACGCGGCACAGGTGGTTTTCTCCGGCCGCTATTTAGTATAATATCTCTCGTCAAATAAAAACTTGTGAGTGAATTTGACTCGGGTACACTAGTGTTTTACTGGTCCACAGCCAAGTGAAAATGGCTTGGTTAAATCGACCATGCAGCCGAATGGATTGTTCCGGGTTCGGTCTCCAAATGACATTGTTCCAGGCCACTGCTCGGCTTTCAAACACCAAAACCACCACAAGAGGGAGCCGTTCACAATAACTGCAGGCGAGAGGCCTTGTTATTTATCCACACTCATGTTAGTTAAATGCAACTAGTATGTACCTGTTAATGCTTAAATTATATTAAGCTTCTCTGGTTTTCTTTACAATACTGCATTGAGCAAAGTCAGCAGTCAGATATGAACTGCAATAAAGAGTTAATTGCAGAAGCAGCATTCAAATATCTATGGCTAGGCATCTGTTCTCACTGTTACTGACATGCTGTAGCAGTGTACCTGTAAATTTCCCACCAGTTTATGAGCACTTATTCATGCATCTCAGCACAAAGCCGTCCCCATATGCTGTGATTTAAAGGGGGCTGCTTATGGGGAGCAATGTAGGGTGACCATACGTGCTTTTTTCCCAGGCACACACGCGGCACAGGTGGTTTTCTCCGGCCGCTATTTAGTATAATATCTCTCGTCAAATAAAAACTTGTGAGTGAATTTGACTCGGGTACACTAGTGTTTTACTGGTCCACAGCCAAGTGAAAATGGCTTGGTTAAATCGACCATGCAGCCGAATGGATTGTTCCGGGTTCGGTCTCCAAATGACATTGTTCCAGGCCACTGCTCGGCTTTCAAACACCAAAACCACCACAAGAGGGAGCCGTTCACAATAACTGCAGGTGAGAGGCCTTGTTATTTATCCACACTCATGTTAGTTAAATGCAACTAGGATGTACCTGTTAATGCTTAAATTATATTAAGCTTCTCTGGTTTTCTTTACAATACTGCATTGAGCAAAGTCAGCAGTCAGATATGAACTGCAATAAAGAGTTAATTGCAGAAGCAGCATTCAAATATCTATGGCTAGGCATCTGTTCTCACTGTTACTGACATGCTGTAGCAGTGTACCTGTAAATTTCCCACCAGTTTATGAGCACTTATTCATGCATCTCAGCACAAAGCCGTCCCCATATGCTGTGATTTAAAGGGGGCTGCTGATGGGGAGCAATGTAGGGTGACCATACGTGCTTTTTTCCCAGGACGCGTCCTGGCCAGGATTTCGATATTGCTTTGATTCAAAGTACCTCGACAGCGTTTCGAAAACACAAGGAGCCGATGTCATACACCGATCGGTCTGCACACGCAAACAAAGCCAAACCCTAGATATTTTAGCGCATAAAAGTGAAACTCCGCCTATGATTGTGCTGTTACTCCTTTCGAGCCGAATTTCACAAAATTGGGTGTTATTTATGGGGAGTAGAATTATTTATTTATTTCAATGAATGTAATCGATTAGATATCATAATATTTAGGCCTAAATATTATACATCAGGTTGGTTTGTATTGCTGACATAATATGTAAATGATATGCGTGCGGCCCGCGAGACTTGCACTTGGACCATAGTGCGGCCCGGTGGAAAAAAAGGTTGAGAACCACTGCCCTAGAGCAATGCATTGTTGGCAACACAAACACGGCAGGAGGGAATGATGGGAAACACAAGGCATGTAGATAGATTTATGTCTCCAGCTTATGTTTGATTGTAAACATTTGTGTATAGATAAAGTGTGTTGAAGTTGCAAGTACTGTGAGACCTGTTGTGTGTTGGTTCCTCTCGCACCTTTTCCCCCTAATAGTAGAAGGGACCGAATCTCAGGGGACTTGTTACCTTGGAAACAGAACCTTACTTATTTATAGAGTCTGAGAGGAGAGAGAAAAAGAACAGGAACAGATAAGAAAAAGAAACCTCCTGTCTTTCTCTCTCCTCAACATCTGGGGGCTGTTTGTTCGGTGAGGCACGTCTCCTAAATATTCATATCGAATTCAGCATCACACACCTCTAGTTCAGTGCCATAGTAACCTCACCCAGTGTCTCCCAGGAGAGAAAGCAGGCGCATGCATCACACATGCACGCACGCATGCACTCACCCGGCATTGATCGCTGAATCTATGGGCCCTTTGAAATTTGAAGGCAGTTATTCATTTGACAAGCTCAACAAGTCCACCACACAGAGCATCTCTCCTCCCCTCTAAATCCTGAAGGACTGTTTGAAGGCCATCGTGGAGGAAAGATGGATGGATGAGAGTTTATTTCTCCTTTATTCCCCACACTGCCATAAAGGAACAAAGTATAATTGAGAAGACATTTTTCTTCATATTTCTTTGCAAAGTTAGCGCTTTGTTATAGCTGATCGAAGTATGTTAAAGGTCATGTCTATGTCACCTCATCAATTCATAATTCCATGCCTTCTTTTTATGGAGGACTAGAAGTGACACATGAAAATAAAATGAAGGAATCTGTTATTAATTTAAGAATTCAAACATAAAAATGTAAATAGAAAAATAAATTAATAGGGAAAAAAATTTGATATTTGAAACTATTTAATTCATGAAGTTAAATAAAATAAAATGCTAAAATATTATTTATTTATTAAAATGTCTAAAATAAAATCTAAAATGCATATTTAATTTTTTTTATTTAATTCATGTTCAAATAGTAAATTTTACTTTTATGTGAATTGTTTTTAGATGCACATCCATCCATCTCAACAAACTGTTTGCTCTACAATTCAAATTCAGTTTTTTTCCCATAGTAGGCAGTCAGTGTTTTGTTTTGTTTTTTTGTTAAATAATTATGAATAAGTTCAGTGATTTCTAAGAGTTGAGAAAGGCATATTGTAAATGTCTGTTTTATCTTGAGTGCCCCTTTAGTTATTCATTGTGTGTATGCAGGTGTAAATGTGCATGTGTGATCTCACCTTTATGCATGCTTGATGCATTTTGTGTTTATATACAGTAGGAACATGGTTTTGCTCTTTGCTCTGTTTGAGTATTTGCACATCTGTGAACATTTCATTGGTTATCTGACCTCTTTTATGGTGTCAGATCACATTTTCCTCTGCATCAAATCGACAGCTCATATCCAGCTTCACACGCAATCTCTGGCACACAAGCTATAGGGTCATTCCGTGTCAAATCAACCCGAATTTCAGAAACTTCACATCCGTGACATTTAATATTTTGGCTGTCATCACCATACATGTTTCTTTCGTAAGATTAAAAAAAAAAAATTTTATTGACAAAATCAAAAATTTGAGCCAGGTGACTTCTGGTTGAGTTGACACTGAATGACCCTATACTATAAGGACATTGAGTGATAGTTTTCTCTTGTGTGTACATGCGTATTAGGGGTGTAACGTTCTCGGTAAAAAATCGAACCGTACCATTTTCCACCCACGGTTCGGCACACACTTGCACCGCGGTACAACTTAAATCTGACAATACATCTGTAATGTGGCTTATTAAAAATAACAACACGCAAAACAGACAGAGTTCGGCTAATGTATGTTTTTTTCGATGGATACGCATTCTGGCTTCCCAATACATTACAACAACAGCGATGGAAAAAAAAAAAAAAAAGAAAGAAACATGGACAAACCAGTCACTCTTTGTAAACTTTGTTCAATGCGAATGTGTATATTTCTAAATTAAAACTAGAATAAGAGCACAATAGACTAGAATAGTAGAATAATAGAATAAATGCTGCCTAAAAAAACAGTATTACAATGTTTAATTATTAGTGTAATTTATTAGTGTATTTAAAGATGTTGACAACTTATTCTAAATGTCAAAGTAGAGAAAATGTACATTTCGACTCAAAACATTCCATGTTTCTAAAGCCAATGTTTTGATGAATAGTGATTTTTGTGCACAAACATGCACAGGTTTCACATACATGAGTGCGTACAGTAAATAAAATTTAGTGTTTGTAATTCTGATGCCTTTTTTTTCTGTCCCCTCCTAAAACTTGCTGTGCACTAGATGCTGTAATGGCCTGTCACATTCAGATCTCATCAGTGCCCTGTAAACACAGCTCCCCACAGTTTCGTTACTTTCCTCATCTCACGAAACACTGCAAAAATACAGCACCCCTCCACCATCATCATGGTCGCCATGGAAACCCAAAGGTCTGGGTTGGTGTATGATGATGTGTACTGTGCTTTAGGGTTATGATTTGAGGGAAAATTCACTCTTTATATGTCTGAATGGTCGTTCCATAGAATCTGCAGAGATTAAACTATTTGACATTTTCCAAGGTAACAATTGTAATGCAATACTGTGAAGTGACTGCATATGAATGAGGCTCGAACAGAGATGGGTAGATAATTATTATCGAGAGAGGACCTGAGTCTAATGGCATATAATATGCCCACCATAATGATCATAATGTGCTTTATTGGTCCACAAGGAAAGACGGACAGCTGTCATTCTCATCCATTACAGCACACACACAAAAAGAAGATTCCTTAATACTGATTTTGGAGCAAGTAAAAAACAGGATTTAGCAAGCAAAGGCAGATAAATGTGGGCAGAGGCATTTAAAAAGGTATTATTGGTGAAGGAGAAGCTGATTTCAGTGAAAATCCAGATGGTGAGAAGATGGGATGTCAATGTGTGATGAAGAATCGAGGTTATTGAATCCTCTGTGCCTCACTGTGCTTTTCTACAGTTATCCATCAACCTGGCTCTTCATCGCTGTACCATGGCACAATGCAATAAGGCCTTAATAGTATAAGCAAAAATGTGAAGGTCAAACTAAAGATGTTCGCTTGTTTGTGTATACCTCTGAATGAAGTATAAAATGTAGATACATGAGTGTATTCCTCCATTGAAATGGAGAGCTGTCATTGGATGCACAATATTCTAATTCTCATTGGATTCACAATATTCTTGTGTATTTGTTTTTTCTCAAACATTAGGAATCAGTGAATTGAACTTGATGTGTCAAATCTTTTGATACTAATGGTATACTGATATACTGTTATACAGATAACATATGTGACCCTGGACCACAAAACCAGTCATAAGGGTATAGAGATTTAGACAAGAGATTTATACATCATCTGAAAGCTGAATAAACAAGCTTTCCATTGATGTATGGTTTGTTAGGATAGGATGATATTTGGCCGAGATACAACTATTTAAAAATCTGGAATCTGAGGGTGCAAAATATTGATAAAATCAAAATAAATCAAAATATTGAGAAAATCACCTTTAAAGTTGTCCAAATGAAGTTCTTAGCAATGCATATTACTAATCAAAAATTAAGTTTTAATATATTTACAGTAGGAAATTTACAAAATATTTTCATGGAACATGATCTTTACTTAATATCCTAATGATTTTTGGCATAAAAGAAAAATCTATAATTTTGACCCATACCATGTATTTTTGGCTATTGCTACAAATATATATACACATATATGTGTGTGCATTTTTGTGCATGTATATTGTAATCTGTTTTTAAAGGGGTCATACGATGCGAGAGCACACCTCGCTTTTCAGACCGATTAGTTTTGTAAAAATCGACGCGTTTCAAAAAGGCGGGGCATAGAGGAGAAACAATAATGTACAGTATGTGGAAAATAATGTGTTTTTTTTACTTTAAACCGCATAAACACATTTCATTACACCAAATACACAAAATAATGTTCTTTTTAGCAGCATCATATGACCCCTTTAATAACTCTGCCATGTCTGAATGTCATTATGATTAAACACATGAAGCCACTAATTTGCAGTGTAACAGTTTTTGCTCATTTGTCTAAATACAGAAAAAGTCAAACTATTTGCAAGCTTCAAAGTGAGCATGATTTCATGCTCTAGATTGTTAAAATGAAT